CTCGCCCCGTCCCCTCCGCCTGTCCCCGCACCTCTCCTCCGCTCCTGTCCCCCTCAGGCCGCACCCTCGGGACCCCCGCCCCCCTCAGGCCCCGCACCTCCCGGGGGGGGGATACCCTTTTACCCCCCACACTCGGGTTTCTGCGACTCCCACCGCCCCTCCCTCGTGTGTATCCTCCAGTGTGTCCCCGCTGCGGCCTCCGCCCCTGTTCCTTCGGCCGCTTTTCCGCCCCCCTGCCTCACCTTTGGCAGGCGGCTCGCTGCCCCCCGCTTCGCCCGTAGCGAAGCTCCCCTGCCCCTCTGACAGCATCTCCTCCGACCCGGCCGCTGTGTGTCCTCCCCAAGTTCTCGTCCTTAGCGTCGTAGTTTCTTGTCCCCCGCCACTCCCTCTGCCCCCGCGGACTCTGGTCTGCTCCCGCTTTCCCTCCGGAAACAGCCGCCCTCCACGCCGCACTGCTTTCCTTAGTTACTCTGTCCCGCTGGCGAAGCCCCCCCTCTCCATTCCTCTGTCCTTCTGTGTGTCCCTTTCCTCCCTTCGGTTTTGTATTCGTCCTCCGAGTTTACCTTTTCTGACCCTTGCATGCCTTTATTTTATTTTATTTTATTTTATTCTATTCTATTCTGTTTGCTGGGGCGGTGGGGTTTTGGACACCGTGGCTCGTCTTCACCGTAGCTCTCGTATTTACACCACGATTTTGACTCTCGTGCCCCCATCACCAGCCTCATGCCTGGGAGAGCATCCCCGTTCCCGTCCGCCTTCCCTCCTGCACCGTGCTCGTACTTTTGTTCAGTCTACAATTACGACTTCCCTTTTGGGTCTTTGACCCCCCCCACCCCCCTCTTCAGGCCATGCTGCTTCCCGTTCGCTCTCCTGCTCTGCCTGGTGAGCCCACGCTTGAGCCTGTCCTCCTCTTCGTCACCTCCAGGTCGCTTTCCCTTCCTTCTCTTTTCAGGCCCCTTCTGCAGCTGCAACCCACCCTCTTCCCTGCTGCAGCCCCTCCCCCTTTATGCTCCTTCATCCTTATTTCCCCACCGCATCCCTTAAAGCTCGCGCAGATTGCTGCCTCGTCTCGCGATGTCTGTGCAGCCCTCCTCCGCTCTAATCCAGGTGCTACACTTGTACGGTTGTATTAAATTTATAGAGTTGCTGGTTGACTGGTAGGTGGTGTGTGCTCTCATCTGCATTCTCCTTAGCAGCCTTCCATGCTGTATCTCTGCTTCTTCCTCAGTCTGTCTTATATATTCACTTTCGAACCCTCTCCCCCAGTCCTCGAATTTGCTGTCATGAATTCTTTCATTTGTACACATTTTTTTAAATTATAATTTCCACAACCCTCAGGCTTTCTTCTGGTAAAACAGTAGTTTTGCTCAAGGTTTCAAAGGGGATAGGGTCTGGAGGGTCCGGCATATAGAGGAGTCCACCTGTTCTCATTTACCTTATGCCCCGGCCCTCATCCTTGACATTCTTACTCTGTGCCATCCACTCATTCTGTTTCAAGTAGCTCATCAAGCAAGCGTTTGAGGCTATTACTATGACTTTCTCCTGTTCTTCCTATAAATAGATGCTTTCTTTTTCCATTAACGTTCTACATACTCTTTTCTAGTATTCTCTTTTGAGAGTAAGGGCATTCAGATATAGAATGCAACAGTGACCTTTTGTGCCTAATTCTTTTCTTTCTAGTTAACTCAAAACCTGTGGCAGATGTTTTCTTCCAATAGAAGCTCTTAAAATTGTCATTTTTCATTCCCTTTGGAAGTTAACTTTGGATTCAGCTGTTGGTTTATTTTTAAATTTAAAGCTAAAGTATTTATTTAAAATTATAAATTTATCATAAAGTTCTAAATCGTTTACTCTTTATAGGAGCTAAAGGAACTAAAGGAAAATAATTTCATAGAAGACTACAGCTAACATGATTGACCATTTCATGTCAATATATGTATATATACATATGCCAGCTAACATAGTTGGTGGCTTCTTCCCCTTGTTGTGGTTTTGCAGCAGAGTTCAGACAAACTAGGTACTGTAAAGGAGACCTCAGACTAGAACAGGTAGATGGGCTTACCTCAGGCCCAGGTTCCAGTCTAGGTCCATTCCTCCTTCTAGAGAAAAGACGCTGCATCTTGGCACATCCTTGGGGGTGAGTAGAGAACTTTGCCTTCTTTAGTGGGCAGGGCAAAAGAACACTCTGCTTAGTGAACCTTTCTCTGGAAGGTTGTGATGAGCAGACATCTTCCTGACATTGGTTATTATCTCCCAACTGTATTTTGATTTCCAAATTCCGCTGCTGTCGCGGAAATAGTGATGGTTGCAACACAGAGCTGAGCTGGTTGGTACATTCCCTGAGACCTCAACAGTTGACCCATGAACAATTCGTGTTTGAACTGCTCGGCATCACATTTACGTGGATTTTTTTCAATAAATACCTGTACTGTTTTCAATCCATGGTTGGGAGTGCGCGGATGTGGAGGACCATCTGCATGCGTTGACACCGTGTTATACGGGGACTTGAGCATCCTCAGATTTTGGTATCCGCGATGGAGGGGGCGGGGTCCTGAAACCTATCCCCTCTCCCCAGGACACTGAGGGAAAAATGTAAGTTTTGGGGGATTCAGAAGTTATACTTGGATTTTAAAGTGCAGGGGTCAGTTCCCCGAACCCTCACCTTCAGCAGTCAACTGTATACAGTTTCTTTCTCTTCTTCCAAAATCTGCATCTTTTCTTTAGGTTTTCAAGTGAGAGGAGGAAATCAGCAACCAGACATGATTCTTGAGGGATATCTGTGTCTGCTACTTGTTTTGATCTTGGTTAGGTTGATGCTGATTTTTCCTAATGCATTCTTTAGGCAACATTCCTTAGAGCTTTTCTCTGTCTCTCACCCAAGTTCCTTTAGTTAACCTCTCTTGTCCCAGGAAAGCTCTGTAAGTTGATGAAGTGCCAGGTGTAGTCAGGGTTAGGCATGGGTAGATAATTACTATGTAGATGTCAGAGAGAGATGTCTGGACTTTGATAATTGCCTTTTAACTAAGACTTTTCCCTATTTTAACCGCTTTACTCCTGTGCACAAATTATTTTATTCCAATCCTCATGTATTGCACTTGTTTGGACAACTGATAGAAGTGTTAAAAGAACAGAATAACTTTGAGATTGAAGGGAACGCACGCTCGCACAAAAGCAGGGCATCAGTTTCTTTGCATTTCTTTTAAAGTCTGTTTGCCAAGGCCCATCCTCGTTGAACCTTGGAACAGTCCTTAAACTAAATTCACTGCTTCAGTTTGTCCTTCTTCCTTTCAAAACAGACTGGATTTTAACTGGTTGGGGAAATAGTCATATTGCAGGGCTTGGTGCTGGAATATGAACAAGCCCTCTGGGCTCTAAATCTTACTGCAGATGGAATGTGAGTCTCCACCTTGTAATTTTCCCCAGTGTCATACATTGAGTGTCTTCACTTTGATGTGTATGTACCTGGAGGCTGAGTGAAGAGTGCTCTAAACAAATAGAACCAAAATATATCTTTGCACTAATTGTGTAGTATGTGAAGTAACATTTGATTTGAGGTTAATTTTCTTAAGGTGAAAGTAGGTCCAAGGGCTCTGGATTGGTCTCGCGAGAGGTGCTGCGGGAGGGTGTAAGTGTGCAGTGGGTTTGGACATGGCACCATCTGTATTTTTGAGGGGTCGGGTTTGTCTGCCGGTTAGTGTGTTTTGTCTCTTTGGTATCTGGTAGTGTGTCTTTGGTAAGCGTGCACTCCTAAGATCGGCTGGCAGCCATTCAAAGTCTTGGTACGGAAAGCATGTGTCTTCCTCCTGGACAGCTCTAGAGTAATATACCCATCAACTTGCCCTTGCTAAACCGTAAGAAAAATTAAAGCCGTATATATATAAATTTGTTCATTGAGAGTTTTTTTAAGTTAAATTTATTAGGGTGACATTGGTTAATAACATTATATAAGGTTCAAGTGTACAGTTTTGTAATACATCATCTGTATATTGCATTGTGTGCTCATCACCCAAAGTCTAATCTCTTTCTGTCACCATATGTTTGACTCTTGAGAGTTAATTTTGATAACTTACAGATATCTCACGGGCATTCTTTTTTGAGGTGGGGTATTTTATGTGAAAGTTTGAAAATGATTGAATAAAAACGTGGTTGGTGTCAAGAATTTTTACGAGTTACTTGAGTCATGTAACATTGACTGCTGTGCACCTCCTCAATAGTTACTTTCTCGGTTGTAGCTGAATTCCATTCTATTTGGCTCAGATTTTCCAGGTAGGTTTTGGAAATGGTGTTTGAAATCATGGTTATTGATCAAAGGAATTTTTTTGACAGTGACTTTCAAGCTTTAGTGAGCATAAGAATCACTGGGTAAGTGTGCTTGTCAAAAGTATAAATTCGCAGGCTCACTTTTTAAGGGCTGTGATCCAGTAGGTCTTGTATGGGGCCTGGAAATCCTTCATGCTTTACTTTCTTGCCAGGTGTGGGTAATGCAACTCACATACTCAGCCCTACCTGGAGCGACACTACAGGTCCTACATAGGCCTTGAATTCTCGGTTCATTTTATCTTTACGGTCATGTCGAGTCACGTGACTGTATTCTAACAAATAGTACTTTGTCAGGCTCCTGAATGGCAGCTTTTAGGAAAATAAGTTCAGTGGTTGGTGGACTGTTATATCTGATCATCTGTACTTCATTTCTTGAATCTTGCTAAACTGTTGTAATAAAGATGGGTGATTAAGAGGTAGAACAGTAATAAAAGTCATTATACCACTTTGCTATTTGGAGTGTGTGTTAGAATTTGCGGTGTTTTTACATTCAGTCTTCACAGCAGCCTTATGAGATGGGGAACATGTGAGCTCCTTGAGGCCAGGGACTACCTCTGTGTTCTTTTCCCGCCAGATGTCTGGTGGCACATAGAAGGTATTAGTCAGTAAATACTTGATGAGTGAATGTATTAGCGTCATCCCTATTTCATAAGAGAGGACACTGGGCGTTGCACTAACGAGTGTTAACTCGAATTAAACCCAGGTCTTTGACTTCTAAAGCCAGTGTATTTTCTATTTCTTTCGTTTTCCCAGGTATTGTCGACTTAATAGTCATCTATTCTTGACTGAGTAGCCACTTAAAATTCTTAAAATTCAGTCACATCTCTATCAACTTGTATAGCAGTTGAGCTTTGGTTCTGTTATCGTGGAATATAACTCATGTCTTTATTTACATTGTCTCTTTGTTGAATTGGGTGGGCAAGAGGGGACCGAAGCAGTCATTCTTTGCCCTTATTTGTTTCTATCTTTAATCTGTTGGTTTTTGGTGAAGGGAGCATGACAATCATAATTGCAGCCTAAAGAAATACTTTTCATCTCATAGGCAGTTGAGGTGGCAAACAGATGAAAGTGAATTTGGAAAGAGCGTCATCTTCCCCTGGGGAATCACTCCCACAGGGTGGCTGTGACCAGGGAAAGGTCTCTCATTAGTAACTGAAGCTTTGTCTGGGTCGCTCTCTTTCCATCCACCACTGACCAGGTCATTTCAGGTGAGGGTTGTTACCATGCTCTCAAGGATAATTATTTTTTAAGATAAGCTCCTTTGGGAATAATTCTTGTGATCCGGTAGATAAACAGAGACTCAATGACAAGCAAACACAATTTATGGTCAGTTGCAGTGCTTCGGGCACAAGATCTCGCGGTGGGTTCACTTGTGAGAGATGACATCACTGGCACCGAGGCCGCGGCGGTGTAGGTGACAGGTCGGTAGGCTCATTCTGTTCTTGGACCCTCAGCCGCGTGGAGGGTTTCCATGCTTCCCTCGGCAGCCGGTGGGAGGCTGTGTGTACATGGGACAGTTCCAGCCCCACGTGTGGAAACAAGTGTTTAGGCAGCTTTAAAATATTTTTAAAACTTGCAACTCACAGTAAGAGATAGGATTTATATTACAACCTAGTCTAAATAAAAAACAAAAAAACAAAAACTCACCTGAAGCAAGTTTCGCAACGCTGTATTTACTGGCATCATGTACTCTGGTATGTTTTAGTCTGTTCGGTTTCTTGTGTGTTTTCATTTCATTTTGGTTTTTGAATGCTGATCGATGGTGGCCCACTGCATTACTTTTGAGACTCATTAGGTTGTGATCCACTGTTTGAAAAATGATGATTTAGGGCATCATTTCTCTATTGTTTGCCTACTAATATCACCTTGTATTCGGCCTGGTTCCACAGTTAAGCGTAAACTATGTGTAAAATGCTGTTGGGCTTGTACAAGTCCCAGAGTCCCTGTGTCCCCGAAGAGCCTGCACTGCAGTGGGGACGGTGCGTGTAAACCGTTTGCTGTGTGCGAAGCGACATGAAACGATGGAGATCCACGGAAAACTGGGAAAAAAGAGTGAATATGGAGAAGATAGATGGGTAGAGAGGTCAGAGAGGACTTCTACACTGTGACTGAAGAACGGGTATAATTTCAGTAGGCGGAGAAGGGAGAGGGAGGGGTTTCATAGGCGAAGGAAACTGAAGATGTGAAATTTTTTTTTTTTAAATGCCCACAGCACCTGGTCTTCCTAGGTGGTCTCCCATCTAAGTACTAACCAGGCCCGACCCTGCTTAGCTTCCGAGATCAGACGAGATCGGGCACGTTCAGGGTGGCATGGCCATAGACTTGAAAAGTTCTTAGGATAACTCTAAGGAATCTAAGACTGCTGTTTGTC